GGCTGCGGTCATCGATACATGGCCATTTGGTTGGGCGGGAAATTCTGGGATAATCTGTGGGTGGTTTTAAAATCTCTCGAGCAGGTACGACATCAAGCTGAACAACGTAAAATATTATTATTGCGAGGAATAGTTAAGTACATTCTGTGCCCGAAGAGTCAAGGAAACCAAACCTTCAAGATGTAATTTAAACGCAATTAATTGACCTAGCATTTACTTGCGCGACATTTGCATAAATACATTTCCGTTAAGTACCGAAATCGATCCACTGAAATCCCACCTCTGGAAATGAGCAGCCTGCCATGGAATTTTAGCACCCTGAATGGGAAATCAAAGGCAAACATTGTAAACTGAGACGTGCCACGATCCGAAATGCCCGCAACAATTTGCCGGACATTATGACGCAGCTTCATCGCTTTCGCATTACATTTGCCCTTTTCCATTTTCCGGCTGAATGTTGCGGCTCTTTGGAGTTTTCATTTCCGGTTGCCTAGCCGGGGCATATTAGCTAAAGTGGAAAGTTTGGAGTCCAAACAGTTCTGCCCACTATATAAGCAATCACTGCAATTACCTCTCCTTTTAAAATACTTTAAATGATTTTTAGATTTCGGTATTTTTATCAGGTATCACAAAAGTTATAAATCAAATTTCTACTAACTGTAGCTAAGATATGTTCGCTGCTCTGATTTGCTTAATTGTTATATCATTTTGTAGGGCATTTCAAAAGTCGCCTGCTCATTTTTTCCCCTACCAATATATTATTCCCTTTGGCTTCGTCTGCTTTTTTTGGCTTCGCTTCCTTTATGACTGCCAAATGCACTCTCCACATGACCAAACTGCCTTAAATCCCTGCAACATGCCCCAGCCATTATTCAAAAAGTAACCCCCCACCTCCCACCTCCCACCCTTCACTCCTCTCTCAAAAAAAGAAAGGGAAAGAGAAAGAATCGCTTGGAGTTTGAAAAGCTGTTGCCAGTTATTGTCTGGCCCTCAAATGTATGCTATGTTTTTGTGGCTGTGTGCGACTGGAGCCGAATATACTGGATAACTGGGTAGTATCCATATCCATAGCGCCCCCCCTCCGCCCTCTGTTGCAAGCATTCCATTCCCAAAGGTTCTCTTTTAGCCAGTGGCAGAGCCATCAATAAATAATAAATTGCCTATAAAAACTGATAAATTCATTGATGAATCTTCGAGAGAGTCGGGAAAGCTCGAAAACTCTGCTCGGCAGTACCCATAACGCGTTTGTCTGACTGCCATATTTGCGGCCACGCCCCCATAATCCCCGTCCATCGCCTCCAACGATTTTGCCCTCCTTATAAGTGAGTAATGGAAATTCGTGGTAATAAATGTATGGCAAGGCTGGCAAAAGGGATGCTTCCAAATGCGGCATGCACTTTTTGGTGGCATCAGTCTGCGAACATTTCCGTCTTAACCCACTAAAGCCATGGTCATGGCACTGTACGAAATCTATAGTTTTAGTTGGGCAATTAAGGTATGAAAATATAATTCAATTTATATATCTACTCGAAAGTATTGTTACAAAATGTTCTCAAAAACGGGTTAATTCATGTTGTATGGATAGGCTATGAATATTTCTCCGTGTAGAATCGGTTGTTTTATGGGGTTGAGAGGGCGCGGAAAAACTGTAGACTATCTATTCATGACATACTCAGAATGGAAATATGTATTACCATTTTGATTTAGCCCAAATCCTCTTTGTTCTGTCACAACCTAAACATTGATTTATGCTTATTTCTGCGAAATTCAGTAACACAAGCCTTAGGAAATCGGAACAGGCGCAGTGCTGCAGTCACTTTTAAACTGAGTGCTTGGGCCTAAGCTGGATTGGGAGCATTTAGTTTGAAAATGTGAAATTGAAAATGGGCTGCAGGAACACTTTGGCTAAAAATGAACACAATAGCATTCTCCTGTGCGAGCTTAAGAAGATTGCAAATCGCTTTTAAGCTACTAAAAATTCAATGAAAAATCTATGCGAAATGGTATTTCGATCTGTTTAGGGGAAACACTTGCCATATAAGCAGCTCGTTGTGCAGTTTTAGTTTTTGTTTGCTGGGCGATTAAGAACTGGAAAGTTTGTGTTCGGGATTAGCTTGAACCATTAGGCCTTTGATTATTATGATTTCCCGTATACACGCCCCTGATTTTCTAAATACCTTGGAGTGTGTTTTCCATTTTCCAATTCCTATTTAACATTTTCTTTTTGGGTCGCGTGGAAAATGCCCGAACCGTCCGTCCATCCATCTATTCGTACTGGCATCCATTCATCTATTTTTGATTTAGCCCGCAGAAAAGGAGCTGCAAGGGAAAATCGCAGACAAACATCATTTCCTGGCCGTTCCCTTTTGTTTGCGTGTTTTTTGTGTGTTTTTTTCCTTTTGTTTTGTTCTGTTTTTTGTTAAATGTAATTTTAAGTGACGTCGCCAAAGTTGAGACGTGACAAAATTACAAAATATTTTGTAAGCTCTTAAAACCGTTGATGCTGCTGGCAGGAAAATGGGATCGAAAAAAGGGAAGTCCCGGCTCCTGGCGGCAGGGACGAGGAGCAGGACATGGCCATAACATGGACCATAACAATAAAAACAAATAGAAGCAGCAACAGCAACATAATACTTAATAACGTGCATTTTGATGTTGTCGCGGCTGATGGGAGGACAGGAATTTCCAGAGTTGGAGTTGGATTTGGGTGCGCATCGGGCGGCGGAAATCGGAGGGGAAATCCGGCGGGGCAATTCCGGAAGGGGAAGTCCAGAGGGGGAAATCCGGAGGGGGAAATCCGGAGGGGGGAAATCCGGAAGGGGAAACGAAGTAAGCCCCCGCCACCTGTGCCATCATTACCCGCCATTCGTGGACAACTTTTGTGAGGGCACATCAAAGGCAAGGCACTTGCCACTCGTTTTTCGGAGCTTGGACACCAAAATAGTTTCGCTGGCAGCCAAAAACTATTCCAAGAGGCTTTTTCCACAACAAAGTGGCAAGCAAACGAAGTAGGAAAAGTTTCCTAAAACGGATGCGGGCCGAGTCCTTGCACAGTGGTGCATAAGCTGGGAAAACTGCAGCATACAATTTAGGACAATCCAACAAGGCCAATGTTGGAAATTAAAATCGGATAAACCTCTTTCAGCAATTTGAATTTTGCCTGGCATATGACCAAGATTAATATTATTTGATCAACACAATGCATGAATGAAAGCATTTCGCTGGCACAATTATGTGAGGGGGGTGGTAATCCAACCGAACTGCACATGTGAATTATCCGCTGTGATAAAACATGACTTCGTTTTCATTCTGTGGCAAGGCATGCGTACTTAAATTCGCAATGAATTGCATGACATGGCCGGGGAAAAGGCAGGGGCTGCGGGCAAAAAGGGGGCTCAACTCTGGTTGTCGTCTGCGGTTTGGCTCTTATTAAGGCACGGAAGCGGCAAAAATAATTTCGGCATGAATTGCCAAACGGAGAATGCACTCACTAATTAGATGCATAATTAGACATGAACTTTTCGGGGTTATTTCAAAGGTGGCGCCCAACTTCAGTGGTTTGAATGGCTAACGTATTTGTGCCACAATAATTGGAAATGTTTGAACAGAAAGTTGAAAATTAAACAGTACAAATATATTACAATTACTCTCACCTTAGGGCTGATGTAGAATCGAATTTCGCTTTTCAGTATTAATAATATAAGCGTCCGGGTGAAGCTGCAACGAAAGTTGCAAATTATTTTAGATACCCCATTATCCTGAAAGCCTTTTCTTTATTCGATTTCCATTGTTATTTGACAGCTTCCTTGTGCATTTCCCACTCTGCACACTCCATTCAGTTTCAATTCTTGGCCTTAGTTTGCGCCAATTCGGTTAACTTCAGTTCGCATCGGGCTTAATTGAACTTCGGTTTCAACTACCATCGACGCTGCGGAATTGGAACTTGCAGTTGCAGTTGTAGCAGGTGCACCTGGAGAACAAAAAAAAAAAAGCACAGGGCACAAAATCGAGGCAACATTGGAGCAACTTCACGGCGCCATCCTCCACTTTCTCTCAGTTGGCCGCAAAAAGTCGGGCACGTGCAGAGTGCACGTAGCCGGAAACAAATGACATTGTCAGCGCCCTGGCCCCAAAAACTGAACAGTCGACCCCTGCGCCATTTTCCCACCCAATTTCCACCAGTTTTCCTGCTGCCTGCTGCCTGCTGCGTGCTCCCTTCTCCATTTTCCCAGTCGAGAAGAAATCCCAGCTAAGCATTTCCGGTCGCGTTCTGACTTGCCTGCTCCGTTTTCCTTGGCCTCTGCCGTTGCAGCTTTTCCTGCAGTTTTCCCCCATGTGTGTGCCCGTGCTTGCCAGTGTGTTAGTGTTAGTGTTTGTGTGCCAGTGTGTGTATGACAAGGCCATTAGCCGCGGCGGCTTTGGCAGCCACAAAAGTTGAGGCGCATCCTTGCAGCTGCCATTTTATGACAGTCTTTTGTTGTCGGCAGCCAGAATTCCCTTTGCCTTTGGCCAGCTCCCTTCTTTCTGTTCTGCTGTTCTTCTGTTTTTTGGTTTTTTTTGAACACTCGAAAAAAGTGCATTCCCAGTTTGTTAATTAGTAGGAAAGCATTTGTAACTCAAACTCATTTGTAAGTACACAAAAAAACAACTTAAATATGGCAAGCGTTCGCATTGCTACACTTTTGAATGGCTTGCTTTCTTAAGTGCGATAATTACTTTATGTACCATGCATTTTTAAAATCTACAATTATAGTTACCTCCTTTCAGATTATCTATGTATACTCACTCTCATATAGCTGTAACCTTTTTTTCCATTATTATGTTCAAGTGCTAATTGGCCAGTTGACAGTTGGTTTATTGGCACCGCATTGGTTATTAGCAAGTTTGGCAACGACTTGCGGATAAGTCGTGTGTCAAAGCGGCAGTCACATGCCAATTAGTGCCACGAGAAGAGCCCTCACTGATTTTCCGCTTTGGCGGCATTTCCCTCCCCTTTCCAGGTGGCAGCTTGGCCAGCACAGGTGGCAGCAGTGGCATCAACGCGGAGTGTCCAACGGACTCGTTCCGGTGCAACAACGGCAAGTGCATCTCGCACCACTGGGTCTGCAATTACCAAAAGGACTGCGACGATGGCGAGGATGAGATGCAGTCGTGCCGTAAGTACCAATACCAATCTCGGTGGAAATTCGGGGAAAATCGAATTTAAAATATGACATTATAGACAGTAATTAAGTGGGCCGTGCCATTTGGGCCGCCGAGCGAAACCAAGGAAATATTCAAGTGCTTTGCGGTGGCGATTCGATGAATGGTTTCATCGCATTTCAATCCAGCTTTTATTCGCTGGAATTTCCGGAATTAATTAATTTGAACGTGTGCTCACTGAAGATCTGATTGATGCGGAAAGCACTTAATGGAAACGCACTCAAGCTATATTTTTGTAAATGAACCCCAGCAAAGCTCTTCGTATATATTGTATTTTTATTGGTTTAAGATCATGTATCATATCATATAAATGTATTTGCACTCCATATGAAGTGGCGCCTAGTTTACTTTATAATACCATTACTTACATGTTTGGTAATTTGTTTACAGCTCCACCGGAATGCGAAACGCCGCAGCTGAATTGCGGGCAGTACACTTTTAACAAAACCTACTGCATTCCACCGCATTATCGCTGCGATATGATCGAGGATTGTGAGGATAAATCGGATGAGGCGCAGTGCAGTGAGTACCCTATATATAGAAGTATATGCATATATTGAATATATATAGATTAAAAGAGGGAGTGGGGAGCCCATTCAATTCGAAGGATTTCGTGCCTTTTCCCACTTGCAATGTAAATTTGTTGACTCCACAAATATTGGCTAGCAGCTCTCATCCTCATCAAAGTCCCTAAGACGAATCCTTTCAGGAAAGGGTGGTGCCATAACAATTTGCTTAGCAAAATGTTTACATTTTATTATGCCAATTTTATTTATGCAAATTTCGAACACTGAGATGTAACCGAAGACCGCAGTTCTTGTTTTCCCAACTAAAATTGCACAGGCGTGCAAGTCGCAAAATATTTACAGACATAAACCTATATTGTATGTACATATATATCGTATAAATATATATATATATTTATATATGTATTGTAAGAGAGAAATGTATGCGAAAACCCCAAGGTAAAGGCCGCAAATTAGCGAGGAAAACTCGAGGCGAACAGAAATGGATCAACTTGATGTACGGCCATAAATCTTATTTGTGGGCCAGGGGTTAGGGTGAAAGGTTAACCCTTTAGCTAGTGGAATTGATGATGGCCGGCCAAAGTTGTTTCTGTTGAGAGGTTCATGGATGGAATCGCAAATGAAGTTCGGTAGAAGTTAACTTGGTAGGGGCAAGAGCGATGAAAAGTAAGCAATGCCCAAAATAAAACTCAAAACTCCACCGGGACCAAGTGTGTGTTCCAAATTCAGTGGAATGCCACGAAGTCATTTCAATAATTTATTCTTAAGGAACACTACAATCTTAAAGATTGTACCCAGTTAAATAATTGGATAGAGTTTAAACAGTTTATCACAAATTGTTTTGGGCATACATCTTTCCTAATAACATATTGCGCTCGACTTTTTCGTAACAACCAATAAATCTTGGCACTTGGCGCTTAGGATAATAATCTACCTTATATATATCTTCATATATATATATTTACATATACATATATATAACTATATATATCACTAGCCCACTTTTTCAGCACCTCAGCTTGAAAGTCTGTTGTCTGGTCGAAGAGCAAAGAATTTAATGCATTTTCAACAGCTTTCGCTCCGTTGGACTTTGTATGGCGAAAAGCCGTACACCCATCTCTTTCGCCGACTTATCGGGCCCTCTCTTTCCCGCCACTCTAGATTGTAGATTTTCCCCGGACTTTCCTTTTGGCATAAAGTTCAAGTGCATTCAGCCAGCAGACTGTGAGCCGCACATTTTGATTAAAAGTTTGCCGAGTGAGAATCCAAAGAAAGGGAGTCATGTCCTGCGAGACAGAGACAGAGGCAGCGGCAGAGAGGGACGGAGGCATGTCCATGCAAATCGCCGAAAAGTGCCCAAGACTTGTAGAGCATTTATTGCTTGTTATTTAAGATTTATGCACCCGCACACACACACCAACACACACACACTAAGTCGCACCGACAGGCAAACAAATATTTAAATATCTTTGAGGCGACCAATTTCCAAGTGTCCCGCTTCTCGTCTTTTCCGCTTTTCCCGCCTCTCGCTTTTCCGCCATCCTTTTGTGCAACTTCAGCTGGCAGCTTTGACGACTCCCGCTTCGGAAAGCACGGGGAAAGCACGGGGGAAAATGCGGAAAATGGCTAGACAAACGCCCTCACAACTTTGTCCTGCGCTCGCCATCTCTTTCGCACCGCCGCATGCCGCCTCGCTCGCACACCTAAGCCGAGCTAGAAGGCCAATTTGTCCGCTCAAAATGGCTCTGATCCAGCTGGCTATTCAACGATAGTATTTCGCCAGATAGTTTTTAAACCAAATATTTTTTGATACTTCACTATGTGCAAGTGTACTGCTGAAATGAATTCTTTTAGTTTTCCAATTTCGATGGTAAAATAATGGATATGTCCTAAATCATTGAAATGATTTGCTATTTTTAGCTATTTTATAGATACTCTATACAACTCTGATGCCGAAAAGTAGAAGAGCGCGGTTGGTAGTCGCTCCTTTCTGGCGCAGAAAGTTGTGCCGGCACAAGATCAAGTTTAAATTTCATTTTAATTTAATAAGACGTTGCCGTAATACGAGTGCATTCCCTCTCCCTCGCCCACTGTCGCTGTCTCTTTCCACGCCCATGCTGCTCTCCCTGTCGCACTTTGTTGCACAATAATTTATCGCGCTTAAATGGCGACAAAATGTTCACTCTTATTGCGTTCTTAACAAATTTATTTTGCGTACGTGTCAACGCGTCGTCTTCTTCATTCAGGATGACAGTAGCCACCCTTTTTCCGCTTTCCCTTTTCCCGACGCCCATGGGCCACGCCCCCGCGCCCTTCAGCTGCCAACTATGTGTGGGTGTGTGCGTATCTGTGTTTGTTTGCCTTCGTTCGCCTTTGTTTGCTTAATTTATGGCATATAAATATTAGAGCGGGCTTATTTCAACTATTTAATTACTTCAGGTGTTGTGCGAGCAGGGAGATGGATGTGGATGTGGATCGGGACGAGGATGCGGATGCGGATGAGGAAGGGGATTAGGGTGGGGATGGGCATGTAGAAAGATGCGGTCTCAGCCATGTAGATAGTGCACACACACCAGCATCCGGGACACAGGGATATCTGGGGTGTCAGCGTAGTCATAGCAATGAAAATTGTACATATATATTTAGATTTAAACAGCTCCAGATGTGTGCAATTATAATCAAGGGATGTGGCGATGTGTCTCCCGAAACAGATTGTCTGCCTGCGAATTAGACTTTAAATTTTGATCTTAATTAAGTCAACAGTCGTGCTAAGTCTGTGTTTTCAGCGCAGTTGCTTACTTTACTTTAATGTGAAAACACACGTTTTATGAACGATATTTAATAAGAAGGCATAAAAATGTAACTAGATAATAGGCACTCATCCCTGTTACTTTGTACTTGGATTAGCTTTGAGTAAATGATTAAGTTCTACTTCTGGCTTTTCGAAATGGGTCGCATTTTTTCTGGGTGTAATTATAGCCCAAGACTTGTGTACATATAGTAAGAGCAAATACAACGCAACTAATAACTGTGAGAACAAACAGCAGACATCTGCTGCAAAGTTACCTTGTCTACCACGCCCACTCTCCCACCAACTCTTCGCCAACTTTCGCCCACTTCCGCCCGATTATTTTCGCTTCCGTTTCGCCGGCGTTGCGGTCGCAAGTCAACAAGCTGAAACTGAAGCATTAAGAGGTACTTTCCAGGCGGACTTTACGCATCACGCATTACGCATTTCGCTTTTAATTGCAGGCAGCATCTAATGAGGCACATATTGCTGCGTAAAAAAGTGCGTAAAACCTGCAGGAGCGTAGAGCTTAAATTGTCATTACCAGAAGGCTTCGAGTTTTCGCAGCACCAGGGAAAACCACACCCCTTTAGTACCTGTCCGCAGAACTTAGGGGTTATAGCCACCTCCGTTTCAGTTAAGTGCCCATCCAGTGATGCCGCCTGCCAATGAACCAACTGAAAAGCCAAATCAAGTTGGAAAATCTAGATATATTAGGTAAAATATAGTAAAAATGAGCAAAGCTTCAAGTTATCTGCCAAACATTGAACTGCAAAACTGATGGCAGCCTGCGTACGTATGGTGATTAATATATTTATTAAACCTAGCTAAATGAATGAAGTTAAATATTGTTTATGATGACTTTACTGGGATACAGTAAATTACCAGTTTGCGTTATATTTTTGTACTTTTTCGACCCGGTTGGTTCCATCAAAAGGTGCCCTCAAGCTGACCTCTATGGCTGGCCAACTTTGGCGGTGGAAAAGCCAAGCTTTCAGCACTGTTAACTGTCTCATAAAGTGTCATCACCCCCACTTGCCCGCCCCTTCGCCAGCCCCTTCACCCGCGCCTCTCCCCTTTTTCTCCAACTTTCTCTGAGTGGCGACGATTGCAGCTGACGTTTATTTGACTGCAGCTAAACGTGACGCGACTGAGGGGCGGTTGCTCGGGCTGGAGGCGTGGCACTTGTCGCGCGTAATTACACACCCCTTTAGCAGCCCCCACCACCCCCCGAAAATACCCCTCTTGGCCTTAGTACACGCATAAAAGTCTTGGCTTGCAATAAAAGTTAATGCCGAGAAAACAGCGAGCGAAGAACCAGAGAACCCAATTAGAAAGTGTTTGGCTTACAAAAAAAGAAATAAATAAGAGAGTGGCAGCGGTGGTTGGATTTGTTGTTTGTAAATGCAGAAAAAAAACCCCTGCCTGCTGGTTAAACCTTGGGGCCAAAAGTTGTGCAGCCGAAACGGAAGAAAGTTCTAAGCAAATTAAGTGGGTAAAAGAATAGGGAAAATGCACGATAAAATATCGTTGTACCGCACAAATATTTTTCATAAAAAAACTTTTTCGGCTTCCATTTTGATTGCATTGCAAATCTGCGCAAATTGCCACGCCCCTCGTTTGTCATTATGATTTGGCTTTAATGCAATGCGAAAGTGCAGCTAACGAATTTGTAACAAATTGCGTGGCGTAAATCATTTGCCCTGGCCACGCCCACAAATTGTATTAACTGAAACATATAAATGCCAGAAAAAAGTCGGGGCGAAATAGCTTACAGAAGGGGGGTGTGAGGGTGGTAAAGAAGCTGCGTGACACATTTTTATGATCACTTGAGTTGGAGGTGCACAAAGTTTTCCTTCCGCTGCTCCACTTTGTCAATAGAAAGGTAGGGAGCCCGCAAAATTTATAGTTACACAACAAAAATTAAAGTGGAGAAGTATTTATAGACGAGTACAGAATAACATATAGGCGGTCCAACGAGGCGAATACTTAACATTTTGCATTTTAAAGTATACTTGTATACCCTTGCTTAAATTGTGAAAATTGTGGTATTTTCATTGCATTTAATTTTGATTAACTGGATATGCCTAATTAGGCATTTTGATTGATGGTGAAAATCCATAGTTGTGTTTTAAATATTTAAAGTCAACTTAGTTCCTCACACACACACACACACACCTGCTACATGTTTGTTTTATGTATATACATTTTTCTGCCCCGCTCGTACCTGCACTCACTCACACACACACACACACACATTCAGGACACACTCAGACAGGGACACTTACACAGACGCAGCGCAGGATACGCATTCCATTGTTTTGCCTGGAGAAAGTTTTGCGCTGTCGGGGAATATTTATACAACTTGGCTTGTTTAACTTGCACTAATTAAGTTTGCCCTGCCACACTCGGATGCTCCCGTCGGGTTCCTATTGGGGGTCCTCCGGTGGCCCCCAGTTGCACGCAACTGTTCCGGGGGTTAATCGAGGGGATTGGGAATGAGCGGAGTGGAGTGGAGGATGGCCATGGGCATGGGCATGGAGCGAATCCTGGCCAGGGAATGCGGCTTAAGAAGCGGGAGACATGCATAAAATACTCGTTGCCAAGTTTATGATGTCCAGAGATAGGGGAGCAGGCATAGATCAACGGGGCGTCCGCAACGCTGGACAGGATTAGGGCGAAACCCAGATACAATTACAGTGGAAACTCCCGGCGGGGAAAGTATAAACTATAAACTTTATTGTACTTCGCATGGGCTTGATTGCATTGTATTACGACTTTATTTATATCCTAGTTCCTAAGCAATTTAACGGCAACGCTCCAACTTCTTAAAGGTAACCTAGCGATGTAAACATATGTGTATCTGTCTAGTGTTTTATATTTTTTACGTGTCACAAGTTCACCCCAACGTCCACGGACATATGTCCCCGTCAAAGGCACATACATCATATTAAAGCCCCGATTCGCCAGCAGTTGCTCTAATTTAGTCATTCAAATGCACGACTTTGCCTGCTACCTCTTTCTTGTTAACGGAACCCTTGACAGACACACACACCCTCCGTTTCCCACCGATACCCTGTATACTCACATCTAGGTAGGGGATTAGTTACTCAGCTATCAAGGCAAACTAAATAATTGGACTTTAAGAAAAACAAAAATTGGTATATACAGTTTTGTGCTCATTATTTTCCCGAATTTATAGGTAAATAATATCATTTTGATGTGCAAATTAATGGAAGTACTGGGTACTCTCGGGTATTTACCCTCTGCAAGCATTCCTTTTTTGTGTGGCTTTCGGGAGGAGGGCTCTGCAACCAACTACTCGATAATTTATAGCACTTTTGCCTGCCGACACACACAACTCAAGTGCACAATCCGGGGCAGATGGACGGGCGGACAAGCCGACAAACGGACGGACAGATAAACGGACAGACAATCACGCCCGACGCTGGTACAGCGACCATGCATTATGTATACGCCATGCGTGCCCGACCCACCAGTGGCCCCAAAACCCCAAAAGCCAGCACTCCCCGCCGCCCCGAATGTCTGGCATCCAAATTTAATGTCTTTGGCAGCACAAATAGTTTTGGCCTGACATTTTTAAGGACCACCGCCGTCTGCCCATTAAAATACTGGATGGCTGATGAGCCGAGAACCGGCTTCTGTCTTGGACAATGGGTCGGCATCCAGGGACACCCCACTGAGCCATTGAGTCCGTTCCAAAACTTCTATGGATCGCCCGAGCCGTCCCCTCAATGCAAATGCAATTAATCACAATAGTAGGGGGCCCAAAATGAGCCATAATTGAGTGCAGTCATGCACAGATTATTATCTCTGGGGTTACTTGGCTGAAACTCGTAGCAGAATATCTTGAAAATATATATCACTTAAGTGGTAATGGGCAGCAATAAAAAATGCATCAACCAATCTTGCGCAAATAATCCAACACTTATTTAAAGATACAGTACAAGTTTAGCTTAATTCCATGTATGGCAATTGAAATAATGCTAAATTAAAATTAATTAAATTATTAAATATTTAAATTAAACATGGTAAATTAATTTTGTAATTCACTTGCACCTATTCAGCGTACCGCAAGTGCCAGCACACGGACCTCTTCTGCAACACGCCCACCGGAGCACCCGCGGAGGGCGCCCGCCTCACCGGTCCCTGCGTCCCCATGGAGAAGCGCTGCGACGGCTACTTGGACTGCCGCACCGGGCGGGACGAGGTCGGCTGCACCGGCGTGGCCTGTCGCCTGGACCAGTTCCGCTGTGCCAACGGACTCAAGTGCATCGACGCCGCTCTGAAGTGCAACCACCGCGACGACTGTGGCGACAACTCCGACGAGCAGGGATGCAGTAAGTAGACTACTTGTAGATACAAATCCAAGATAACACTGCTATATGTAATATCTGAAGAGTTCGCTCAATTAGTACAAACCTTATTGGGCACTAGCATTTGTACGAGCATGTATTACGTATAGAATGCATATTTATTTCTTGTTTATTTTAGACTTCCCGCCCTGCCACCACGCCCAGTTCCGCTGCACGAACGCACTGTGCATCCCGTACAACTTCCACTGCGATGGCTACCACGATTGCGCCGACAAGAGCGACGAGGCCAACTGCACGGCCATCGCCTGTCCGGATAACAAACACCTCTGTCCACGTGGAGGCGCCAGCGGCACGCCCAAGTGCATCCTGAAGTCGCAGCTCTGCGACGGCAAGCGCGACTGCGAGGATGGCAGCGATGAGGAGACCAACTGCTGTGAGTATCCATCGGATACTATCCAAGTATCTCCTCTAACCCTCCTCGAATATTACTGACGCCCACCGTTTTTCGGGCAATCCATTCGAAATAATGGTCCAAATATGGAATGTCATATCTCGTTGCGTTCGTAATTAAATTTCCAATCGAACTGTGTTAAAAAATGGGAATGCTAATTTTTTGCCAGTTTTTGCAAATTTTGATGATGTTACCCCTTACAAAAAATGCGAAAATTGACCCAAAAACGAATTTCCCAAAATCCGTCAAAAAGTGATAGGGATCGTTAGCATTGGTAATTAGCTACTCAAAACAGTTATTCTTTCATCTTTATGATCATTTTTAGCCAAGTTATGATTAAAATGCCCATCAAAATTATTTCAATTTTTTCCAAAATCCGTTTTTTTCAAATTTTGGTCATAAAATAATCAGTTTTTTGGACACAACTTTAAAAATAATTGTCTGAATGTGTAATGTTATACCTTGTTGCGTTCGTAATTAAATTTCCAATCGAACTGTGTTAAAAGATGGGAATGCTAATTTTTTGCCATTTTTTGCAAATTTTGATGATGTTACCCCTTACAAAAAATGCGAAAATTGACCGAAAAATTAATTTCCCCAAATCCCTCAAAAAGTGATAGGGGTCGTTAGTATTGGTAATTAGCTACTCAAAACAGTTATTTTTTCATCTTTATGATCATTTTTAGCCAAGTTATGATTAAAATGCCCATCAAAATTATTTAAATTTTTGCCAAAATCCGTTTTTTCGAATTTCGGTCATAAAATAATCAGTTTTTTTGACACAACTTTAAAAATAATTGTCTGAATGTGGAATGTTATACCTTGTTGCGTTCGTAATTAAATTTCCAATCGAACTGTGTTAAAAAATGGGAATGCTAATTTTTTGCAAATTTTGATGATGTTACCCCTTACAAAAAATGCGAAAATTGACCGAAAAATTAATTTCCCCAAATCCCTCAAAAAGTGATAGGGGTCGTTAGTATTGGTAATTAGCTACTCAAAACAGTTATTTTTTCATCTTTATGATCATTTTTAGCCAAGTTATGATTAAAATGCCCATCAAAATTATTTAAATTTTTGCCAAAATCCGTTTTTTCGAATTTCGGTCATAAAATAATCAGTTTTTTGGACACAACTTTAAAAATAATTGTCTGAATGTGGAATGTTATACCTTGTTGCGTTCGTAATTAAATTTCCAATCGAACTGTGTTAAAAAATGGGAATGCTAATTTTTTGCAAATTTTGATGATGTTACCCCTTACAAAAAATGCGAAAATTGACCGAAAAATTAATTTCCTCAAATCGCTCAAAAAGTGATAGGGGTCGTTAGTATTGGTAATTAGCTACTCAAAACAGTTATTCTTTCATCTTTATGATCATTTTTAGCCAAGTTATGATTAAAATGCCCATCAAAATTATTTCAATTTTTTCCAAAATCCGTTTTTTCAAATTTCGGTCATAAAATAATCAGTTTTTTGGACACAACTTTAAAAATAATTGTCTGAATGTGGAATGTTATACCTTGTTGCGTTCGTAATTAAATTTCCAATCGAACTGTGTTAAAAAATGGGAATGCTAATTTTTTGCCATTTTTTGCAAATTTTGATGATGTTACCCCTTACAAAAAATGCGAAAATTGACCGAAAAATTAATTTCCCCAAATCCCTCAAAAAGTTATAGGGGTCGTTAGTATTGGTAATTAGCTACTCAAAACAGTTATTTTTTCATCTTTATGATCATTTTTAGCCAAGTTATGATTAAAATGCCCATCAAAATTATTTAAATTTTTGCCAAAATCCGTTTTTTCGAATTTCGGTCATAAAATAATCAGTTTTTTGGACACAACTTTAAAAATAATTGTCTGAATGTGGAATGTTATACCTTGTTGCGTTCGTAATTAAATTTCCAATCGAACTGTGTTAAAAAATGGGAATGCTAATTTTTTGCCATTTTTTGCAAATTTTGATGATGTTACCCCTTACAAAAAATGCGAAAATTGACCGAAAAATTAATTTCCCCAAATCCCTCAAAAAGTGATAGGGGTCGTTAGTATTGGTAATTAGCTACTCAAAACAGTTATTCTTTCATCTTTATGATCATTTTTAGCCATGTTATGATTAAAATGCCCATCAAAATTATTTAAATTTTTGCCAAAATCCGTTTTTTCGAATTTCGGTCATAAAATAATCAGTTTTTTGGACACAACTTTAAAAATAATTGTCTGAATGTGGAATGTTATACCTTGTTGCGTTCGTAATTAAATTTCCAATCGAACTGTGTTAAAAAATGGGAATGCTAATTTTTTGCAAATTTTGATGATGTTACCCCTTACAAAAAATGCGAAAATTGACCGAAAAATTAATTTCCTCAAATCGCTCAAAAAGTGATAGGGGTCGTTAGTATTGGTAATTAGCTACTCAAAACAGTTATTCTTTCATCTTTATGATCATTTTTAGCCATGTTATGATTAAAATGCCCATCAAAATTATTTAAATTTTTGCCAAAATCCGTTTTTTCGAATTTCGGTCATAAAATAATCAGTTTTTTGGACACAACTTTAAAAATAATTGTCCGAATGTGGAATGTTATACCTCGTTGCGCTCGTAATTTAATTTCCAATCGAACTGTGTTAAAAAATGGGAATGCTAATTTTTTGCCAGTTTTTGCAAATTTTGATGATGTTACCCCTTACAAAAAATGCGAAAATTGACCGAAAAATTAATTTCCCCAAATCCCTCAAAAAGTTATAGGGGTCGTTAGTATTGGTAATTAGCTACTCAAAACAGTTATTTTTTCATCTTTATGATCATTTTTAGCCAAGTTATGATTAAAATGCCCATCAAAATTATTTAAATTTTTGCCAAAATCCGTTTTTTCGAATTTCGGTCATAAAATAATCAGTTTTTTGGACACAACTTTAAAAATAATTGTCTGAATGTGGAATGTTATACCTTGTTGCGTTCGTAATTAAATTTCCAATCGAACTGTGTTAAAAAATGGGAATGCTAATTTTTTGCCATTTTTTGCAAATTTTGATGATGTTACCCCTTACAAAAAATGCGAAAATTGACCGAAAAATTAATTTCCCCAAATCCCTCAAAAAGTGATAGGGGTCGTTAGTATTGGTAATTAGCTACTCAAAACAGTTATTCTTTCATCTTTATGATCATTTTTAGCCATGTTATGATTAAAATGCCCATCAAAATTATTTAAATTTTTGCCAAAATCCGTTTTTTCGAATTTCGGTCATAAAATAATCAGTTTTTTGGACACAACTTTAAAAATAATTGTCCGAATGTGGAATGTTATACCTCGTTGCGCTCGTAATTTAATTTCCAATCGAACTGTGTTAAAAAATGGGAATGCTAATTTTTTGCCATTTTTTGCAAATTTTGATGATGTTACCCCTTACAAAAAATGCGAAAATTGACCGAAAAATTAATTTCCCCAAATCCCTCAAAAAGTGATAGGGGTCGTTAGTATTGGTAATTAGCTACTCAAAACAGTTATTCTTTCATCTTTATGATCATTTTTAGCCAAGTTATGATTAAAATGCCCATCAAAATTATTTAAATTTTTGCCAAAATCCGTTTTTTCGAATTTCGGTCATAAAATAATCAGTTTTTTGGACACAACTTTAAAAATAATTGTCTGAATGTGGAATGTTATACCTTGTTGCGTTCGTAATTAAATTTCCAATCGAACTGTGTTAAAAAATGGGAATGCTAATTTTTTGCCATTTTTTGCAAATTTTGATGATGTTACCCCTTACAAAAAATGCGAAAATTGACCGAAAAATTAATTTCCCCAAATCCCTCAAAAAGTGATAGGGGTCGTTAGTATTGGTAATTAGCTACTCAAAACAGTTATTCTTTCATCTTTATGATCATTTTTAGCCAAGTTATGATTAAAATGCCCATCAAAATTATTTAAATTTTTGCCAAAATCCGTTTTTTCGAATTTCGGTCATAAAATAATCAGTTTTTTGGACACAACTTTAAAAATAATTGTCCGAATGTGGAATGTTATACCTCGTTGCGCTCGTAATTTAATTTCCAATCGAACTGTGTTAAAAAATGACAATGCTAATTTTTTGCCATTTTTTTCAAATTTTGATGATGTTACCCCTTACAAAAAATGCGAAAATTGACCGAAAAATTAATTTCCCCAAATCGCTCAAAAAGTGATAGGGGCGTTAAGTATGGGTAATTAGCATTTTAACACAGTAATTGGGTTATTGATATGACCATTTTTGGCCCCGTTGAGGTAGCAATCTCCCTGTTTCCCACATGCATGTCTGCATTTGCTGACCCATGTTATCCGTTTTTTCGTACATCTCCAGCGATCGCCTCGTGCCCCGCCCTGAGCTGTGAGTTCAAGTGCGGACCCTCGCTGACTGGAGGAGTTTGCTACTGTAAGCCGGGCCAGTCGCTGGCCCCGGACAACCGGACCTGCGTTGACCTGGACGAGTGCGCGGAGTGGGGTCACTGCGACCAGCTGTGCACCAACACACTGGGCTCGTACACGTGCCAGTGCGCCCAGGGCTATACGCTCATCAACGACTCCAAGTGCATTGCCCCGGACGCGAATAACTTGCAACTGATATTCGCCCACGATCGCGCCATCATGCGAATGCTGCCGCATGGCAGTGAGCCCAAGGTTTTGGCCAATGCCACGGCCGCCGCGGGCGTGACCTTCCATTATGCCCGGAACACACTGTACTGGTCGGACATCAAGACGCGGAAGGTGCAGTCGCTGCCCCTGGATGCGCAAAACAAGGCCGTCTCGCCCTTCGATCAGACCCTTCCCGGCACCTGGGCTCCCGTCGCCCTGGCCGTCGACTGGGTGGGCGATAAGATATATGTGGCCGATCTGGTGGGCCAGAAGATCGATGTCTTCGAGCTGAGTGGTCAATGGCATGCGGTCGTTCTGGGCTCTAATCTCACATCACCCGCCGATCTGGCGCTGGACCCCACGGCTGGTCTGATGTTCGTGGCGGATGGCGGCCAGGTGCTCCGTGCCCACATGGATGGCACACATGCGCGGTCCATTGTCTCGGAGGCGGCCTACAAGGCCAGCGGTGTGACGGTGGACATAATCAGCAAGCGGGTCTTCTGGTGCGACTCCCTGCTGGACTACATCGAATCCGTGGACTATGAGGGTGCTCATCGGGTGATGGTGCTCAGGGGTCAGCAGGTGCCGAGTCCCTCGCGATTGGCACTGTTCGAGAATCGAATCTTCTGGACGGATGCCACCAAGCAGGGCATCATGTCGGTGGACAAGTTCGAGGGTCCCACCTCCATCCAGGTTACGTACAAGGCCAAGGACATCAGGGAGCCGAAGGGCATCATTGCCGTCCATGCGCTCAGCCAGCCCAGGGTATCGAATCCCTGTGGCAACAACAACGGTGGCTGCAACCACATGTGCATTGTGACCGCCGTGAAGGGTGCACCCACTGGCCTGGGATTCCGGTGTGCATGCTCGACGGGCTACCAGCTGGAAACGGATCTGAAGCTGTGCAAGCCGGTCAGCGAATTCCTCATGTACTCGCAGCAGAGATTCATCAAGGGAAAGGTGCTGGAGCCGGTCATCGAAGGATTCAGTGATGCCATCATGCCGGTGGTCTCGAGGCGGGCTCGTTTCGTCGGCCTGGACTTCGATGCACGCGACGAGTTCATCTACTACTCGGATGTCCTGCAGGATGTGATCTACAGGGTGCACCGCAATGGAACTGGCAGGGAGATCGTCCTGGCCTCCCAGAACGAAGGCGTTGAGGGACTGGCCGTCGACTGGGCCTCCAAGAATCTGTACTACATCGATTCGCGCAAGGGCACCTTGAACGTCCTCTCCACCCGGAATGTCACGCACAGAAGAACCCTGCTGAAGAACCTGAAACGTCCCAGGGCCATTGTGGTCCATCCCAATCGCGGTTTCATTTTCTTCTCCGAATGGGACCGTCCTGCGAATATCACCAGGGCAAACACAGATGGCAGTGGTCTGCTGGTGTTCAAAAATGTGACCCTCGGCTGGCCAAACGGACTCTCCATCGACTTCAAGGAGGATCGGGTCTACTGGTGCGACGCTCTACTGGATCACGTGCAGCATGCCAACCTGGACGGAACGGACATTAAGACGGTGAACTCTCGCCTGGTGCGACATCCCTTCTCCATTGTCATTCACAACGACTGGATGTACATCACGGACTGGCGCCTGGACGCCATTATACGTCTGCACAAGCTAACGGGCGAGCAGGAGGAGATGATGGTCAGAGAACCGCAAACCAACAGACTCTATGGCGTCAAAGTGTACAGTCATGAGGTGCAGCGAATCGCGGATACGCAGCCTTGTCACCGAAACAATGGTGGCTGCCAGAAGATCTGCTTCGCTGTTCCCATAGGAGCATCAAATGGCACTGATGCGGTGACCACCGCGTCCCCCTCGTTCGGTCGCCTCCAGTCCCGCTGCTCGTGTCCCTATGGCGAACGCTTGGCCGACGACCAGGTGAGCTGCATTCCCGATCCCAGTGCCGAGCCGCCAGTGCAACCCTGCCCGAACTCATGGGACTTTACCTGCAACAATCAGAGGTGTATTCCCAGGTCCTGGGTCTGCGACGGTGATGACGACTGTCTGGACAACAGCGATGAGGAGCAGAACTGCACAAGTGAGTAGGAAGCCAGTGCATTGCCATCTATAATCTACCTGCTTTTCTCTCTTCTCCATGCTTTCCAGAACCCACTTGTGGATCCAACGAGTTCCAGTGCCGATCGGGTCGCTGCATTCCGCAGAACTTCCGCTGTGACCAGGAGAACGACTGCGGCGACAGCTCCGACGAGCAGGAGTGCGGTAATGTGACCTGTGGAACCTCCCAGTTCGCCTGTGCCAACGGACGCTGCATTCCCAACATGTGGAAGTGCGACAGCGAGAACGACTGTGGGGACAGCAGTGATGAGGGCGACTTCTGCGCCGAGAAGACCTGCGCCTACTTCCAGTTCACCTGCCCGAGAACCGGTCACTGCATTCCCCAGAGTTGGGTTTGTGACGGCGACGACGATTGCTTCGACAAGCAGGACGAGAAGGATTGTCCGCCGATATCCTGTCTGGCGAATCAGTTCAAGTGCGCGGATCTGAGGCAATGCGTGGAGGAGTCCTACAAGTGCGACGGCATACCGGACTGTAATGATGGCTCCGATGAAGTAGGCTGCCCCTCCATGGGTCCGAACCAGTGCAACCTGGAGAAGCACTTCCGCTGCAAGTCCACCGGCTTCTGCATACCCATCGCCTGGCACTGTGATGGCTCCAACGATTGCTCGGATTACTCGGATGAGCAGGACTGTGGTCAGATCACCTGTGCCCAGAACTTCTTCAAGTGCAACAACACGAACTGCGTGTTCAAGGCGTACATATGCGATGGCAAGGACGACTGTGGCGATAACTCGGACGAGGGAGCGGAGCACGCCTGTGTCCCACCCCCCTTCAAGTGTCCTCATGGCCAGTGGCAATGTCCCGGAGTTTCCGAGCGGTGCGTGAACATCACATCTGTGTGTGATGACACCCCCGATTGTCCCAATGGTTCGGATGAGGGTGAGGGCTGCGATTTGGCCGAGTGTGAGCACCAGGCGGGTCAGTGCTCCAGCTTCTGCCAGAAGACGCCCAACGGAGCGTTGTGCGTGTGTCCGCCGGGATCGGAGATAGGCGAAGATGGCTACACCTGCATAGATAGCAACGAGTGTGATCCGCCGGGCCTCTGCTCCCAGCAGTGCACCAACACCAAGGGCTCCTACTTCTGCTCCTGCACGGATGGCTATGTTCTGGAGCCCAACAAGCACACTTGCAAGGCAGTCAACCACACCGCCGCCTTCCTGATCATCTCCAATCGGCACTCCATTCTCGTGGCGGATCTGAAGGAGCAGGGACTGGAGAGGGTGCCCATCATAGTGGAGAATGTGGTGGCCACTGCTTCCAATATGCACACAGGCACCATCTTCTGGAGCGACATGAAGCTGAAGAAGATCTCCCGCTTGGACCGCGGCATGGAGCCCCAGGAAATCATCAACACGGGCCTGGACTTGGTCGAGGGTCTGGCCTACGATTGGATAGCCCAGAATCTCTACTGGTTGGACAGCAAGCTGAACACCATCGAGGTGTCCGCGGAGAATGGTTCCAATCGCCTGGTCCTGGTCAGGGAGAACATCACCCAACCCAGAGGCATGTGCATCGATCCCAGTCCCGGAGCAAGGTGGATCTTCTGGACCGACTGGGGGGAGAACCCAAGGGTGGAGAGGATTGGCATGGACGGAACCATGCGGAAGACCATCATCAACACCAAGATCTATTGGCCCAATGGCTTGACCCTGGATATAGCAACCAAGAGGGTCTACTTCGCCGACTCCAAGCTGGACTTTATTGATTTCTGCTACTACAACGGCACCGGGCGACAGCAGGTCCTGGCCAGCAGTCACTATCTGCTGCATCCGCACTCGCTGTCCCTGTTCGAGGATACCCTCTACTGGACCGACAGGCAGTTGAACCGGGTGTTGTCCGCCAACAAGTTCCGCGGCAAGAACCAGACCGTCGTGTCCCACCTGATCAGTCAGCCCTTGTCCATCCACGTCCATCACGCTTCCCTGCAGCCCATGACCCCGAATCCCTGCGCCGGATCTCGCTGCCAGCACCTGTGCCTGCTTAGCCCCAGTGCCCAGGAGGGTTACTCCTGCAAGTGCAAGCCGGGCTTCAAGCTGCTGAGCGAAGGTCGCTGCATCGAGGAGGAGAACCCCTTCCTCATGGTCGTCAAGGGCACGCAAATTGTGGATCTGCCGCTGAATGGCGGCGATGCGAGAGCCGGAGCCCTGGCCCCAGTGATTGGAATCGAAAGCAGCACGGGCTTGGACTTCGATCGCAAGGGAGAGACGCTCTACTGGGTGCAGGGCAGGGAGGATGACGATGAGAACTGCACCATCTATACAACGCCCTATGGCGGTGGCAATAAGACACTCTTCCTGGGCACCGAAAACGGAATTGTGGGCGCCCCCTATACCATTGCATTCGACTGGCTGGGCAGAAACCTCTACATTGGCAACCGGGTGGCCAGCAACATTGAAGCCGTGCGAGTGGATGGCAAGCAAAAGTATCGCACCATAATCCTGGCGAACGATGGATACCCGAACTCCGTGTCGCGGCCCAAGCAAATTGCACTGGATCCCACCGACGGCAAGCTCTTTTGGATCGATGAAGGTGTTCTGGAAGTGCCCATTAAGATTGGCAGAGTTGACATGAATGGACAGAACCCCATTGTGGTCTTCGAGAAGTTTGCCCATCCCGAATCGTTGGCCGTGGACACGGACAAGAAAATGCTGTACTACAGTGCCAGCAATCCCGCAGTGATCGGCTCCATGGACTACAATGGCGACGATCACACGCTGATCGCCATGAAGGACTCGCATCCGATGGCCAAGCCCAAGAGCCTGGGCATCCTAGACCACAGGCTCTACTATCTGGATCCGCTGTACGAGCGCATTGTTCGGATCGACCTGCCGCATGGCGATAATCCCAAGACCATTGTGGACAACGAATCCGATCTGCGCTCCATGATGATCTACAAGAAGCGCGCCCTGATGCAGCATCCCTGCCAGACGAACAACGGTGGCTGCAAGCACCTTTGCATTCCCGGACCTGGAGCCACCAGAACCTGTGCCTGCGGCATTGGATACCGAAAGGAGAACGAGATCAATTGCGTGGCCTATAAGATCTTCGCTGTGGTCTCCCAGCTGGACATGATTAGGGGCTACAGCTTGACCGACAGCTCCGAGGCCATGGTTCCGGTCAGCGGGCCTGGTCACCACATTCTGCACGTGGACGTGATGTACCGGGAGCAGTGGATCTACTGGGCGGAGTACAATCGTGGCTACTGGAACGGCATCTTCAGGTCGCGGCCCAATGGCACCGATTTGCAGCATGTGGTCAAGGACGGCATCGGCAGCAATGGCATCAGGGGCTTGACCATCGATTGGGTGGCCGGCAACATGTACTTCACCAACGTGTATCCCCACGAGAATTACGTGGAGGTTTGCTGGCTGGACGGCAGCAACAGGAAGGTACTGGTGAAGACAACCACCGATGCGCCACGCGAACTGGCCGTGAATCCCATCAAGAGGTTGCTCTATTGGATCGACTATGGCCAGCATCCTAGAATTGGCAAGGCCCTCTTGGACGGCAGCAAGTGGACACCGCTGGTGACATCGGGCATTTCGCTGCCCCGCGATCTCACCATTGACATGCAGACCCACGACATCTACTGGGTGGACTCGAAGCTGGACACGATTCAGAAGATCTCCTATAATGGCGTCAATCGCAAGGTAATCCGCCGAGATCTGCCCAATCCCATGGGCATCGCTGTCTACCTAAACGATGTCTACTGGGTGGACAGGAACCTGATGACCGTCTTCAAGGCGTCCAAGCATAGTGCCAATGAAACCGCCACCAGCGTGAGGACGAACCTGGAGAAGCTTAGGGACATTGCCATATACAACATCAACAATCAGCCGCAGGACGATACAAATCCCTGTGCCCATTTGGGAAACGGCGGCTGTGATCAGTTGTGCTTCAGTTTCCCACCGGACGGCGGAGCCACCGCCGGCACCTCCGGCAGGAATTTCCGTTGCGAGTGCGCCACGGGCAAACTGGGCGCCGATGAAAGAAAATGTGAGGTGGTCAATGAGTACCTGGTCTTCGCCACCAGAACTGAGATTCGAGCTGTCAACCTGGATCCGCAGTCCACGGAGGTGCCCTTCACTCCACTGACAAATCTCACAAACGTGGTGGGCCTGGACTTTGACTTCGCCCACAACCGCATGCTGTACACCCAGATCCGTCCATGGGCCAAGATTGCGTACACCAAGGCAAACAAGCCGGGCCACGATGACATCACTGTCGTGCTGAACAAGGGCATCAATCCCGAGGGCATTGCCTACGACTGGACCCAGCAGAAGATCTACTGGACGGATAGCTCGAACAACTCGATATATGCCATGAACCTGGACGGCAGCGAGCTGGTGATGATTGCCCGCGTGGAAAGACCGCGAGCCATTGTCCTCGATCCCTGCAACGGCACCCTCTTCTTCACGGATTGGGGCAGGTTCGGTACCTCCGGCAAAATTTTCCGCACCACCATGGCGGGATCTCTGAAGCGAGCCATCGTGGACAAGGATCTCTCGCAGCCCAGTGGCCTGGCCATTGACTACGATGAGCGACGCCTGTACTGGACGGATGCGGTGAGGGAGAAGATCGAGAGATCCGATCTGGACGGCCAGAACCGCGAGCTTCTGGTGGGCGCCACCATCTATCCCTTCGCCATAACCGTGTTCAGGAACTACATGTACTGGACGGATCTGCAGCTGAGAGGTGTCTACAGGGCTGAGAAGCACACCGGCGCCAACATGGTGGAGATGGTGAAGCGCCTGGAGGACTCTCCGCGGGACATCCGCATCTACAGCGCCGAGCGCCAGAAGTGCAATGTGAATCCCTGCAGGATCAACAACGGCGGCTGCGCCCAGAGCTGTCATCCGGCTCCGAATGGCAAGGCCGAGTGCAAGTGCGACGATAGCACCAAGGTGGTGAACGAGGGCAGGATGTGCGCCCCGCGCAACAACACGTGCGAGGCCAGCAAGTTCTACTGCAAGAACGGCAGATGCATCTCGAGGATGTGGTCCTGCGACGGCGACGACGACTGTGGCGACAACTCCGACGAGGATCCCAACTACTGTGCCTACCACTCCTGCTCGCCCAACGAGTTCCGCTGCAACAACGGACGCTGCATCTTCAAGTCCTGGAAGTGTGACCACGAGAACGACTGCAAGGACGGCTCCGATGAGCTGGGCTGCACCTATCCACCTTGCGTGGATGGCGAGTTCACGTGCGGCAATGGACGGTGCATTCCGCAGGCGCAGGTGTGCAATGGCGTGAACGACTGCAAGGACAATGCCACGTCGGATGAGACGCACGAACGCTGTCCCATGAACACCACTTGTCCGGCGAACCACCTGAAGTGCGAGAAGACCAACATCTGCGTGGAGCCCTATTGGCTGTGCGACGGCGACAACGACTGCGGCGACAACTCCGACGAGGATCCCCTGCATTGCGGCCAACGCACCTGCCCAACCAACAGCTTCCGCTGCCCCAACCACCGCTGCATCCCAGCCACCTGGTACTGCGATGGCGACGACGACTGCGGCGATGGAGCCGACGAGCCGCCGGACTACTGCAAGTCCGAGGGACGCACCTGCTTTGGGGATCTGTTCACCTGCGACAATGGCAACTGCATACCGAGGATCTACATCTGCGATGGCGACAACGATTGCCTGGACAACAGTGACGAGGACAACCGCCACCAGTGCAGTGAGTATCGTAGCTATCGTAGCTAATTGGGAAAAACCAATCTTATATTTCCCCCTTAGACGACCGCAAGTGTGACGAGGAAACGGAGTTCACTTGCGTGGAGAACAAGTCCTGGCAGCGCGCCCAGTGCATTCCCAAGAAATGGATCTGCGATGGCGATCCCGACTGCGTAGATGGCGCCGATGAGAACACCACGCTGCACAACTGTGCCACCCAGCAGCCCTGCGGCGAGGACATGTTCACCTGTGGCAATGGACGCTGCATCAATAAGGTGAGCAGAGAGCGCCCGAGAATCCAACTAATACGCTTCTATTGCTTCAGGGTTGGATATGCGACCACGACAACGACTGCGGCGACGGCACCGATGAGGGCAAGTTCTGCAACTCCAAGTACAAGACGTGCTCGGCCCAGGAGTTCACCTGCCAGAACTTCAAGTGCATCCGGAACCAGTCCAGGTGCGATGGCGAGGACGACTGCGGCGACCACTCGGACGAGGTGGGCTGCACCAAGGAGAACATCACCTGCCCCCAGGGCCAGTTCGCCTGTACGAATGGCCAGTGCATCGACTACAGCCTGGTGTGCAACAAGTATCCGGACTGTGCCGACGAGTCCGACGAGCCCGCCCACTGCAACGTGAACGAGTGCGCCAAGGTGGAGATCAACCAGTGTGGCCACAAGTGCGTGGACACCCTGACGGGCTACTACTGCGACTGCAACGAGGGCTACAAGTGAGATTTCGCTACTGATTTCGATTTTGATATGTATAATAATACTTGACCCATTCCACAGACTTCTGGCCGATGGCAAAGCCTGCGCGGATGTGGACGAGTGCCTGGAGCAGCCGGGAGCGTGCTCCCAGCACTGCTCCAACACCCCGGGCGGCTTCTACTGCAAGTGCGACGAGACCTACTACGAGCGGCAGAACGACGAGCACACGTGCAAGCGGAAGGACACGATCCCGCCGTGGCTGATCTTCACCAACAAGTACTACGTGCGCAACATGTCGGTGGATGGGCACCAGTACAATCTGATGCACCAGGACCTGATGAACGTGGTGGCGCTGGACTTCGACATACGCGAGCAGTACATGTACTTCTGCGATGTGACGGCCAAGACGATCTTCAGGGCGAAGTATGGAGAGGCGGACGACGAGCTGCCGCCGGAGCGGGAGGCTGTCATACGGCACGACTCCCATGGCCTGGAGGGCATCGCCATCGACTGGGTGGGTCGCAAGCTGTACTGGCTGGACCGGCACTCCAAGAACCTGGACGTCTCCGAACTGGATGGCACCAAGCGCAAGACACTGCGCAGTGGCGTCGTCGATCCGCGCGCCATAGTCGTGCATCCTGGAATCGGTTACCTGTACTTCACCTCCTGGCACCTGCAGGCCTACATTGCCAAAATGGGCATGGATGGCTCGAACTTCTCGAGAATTCTGAACTGGAACGACGGCATCGCCTGGCCGAATGCCCTGTCCATCGACTACTTCACGGACCGCATTTACTGGGCGGATGCCCACCTGGACTACATAGCGTATGCCGACCTGGAGGGCAGGCATCGCCATACGGTGCTCTCGGGCAGCAAGGTGCCGCACGTGTTCGCACTGAGTCTCTTCGACGACTACATCTACTGGAGTGACTGGAACCTGAAGGCGATCGTGAGGGCCAACAAGTTCCATGGCGCCAACTATACGGTGCTGCGGAACACCACCCATCGTCCCTACGACCTGCACATCAACCATCCGCTGCGCCAGTTGCCCTACACCAATCCGTGTGGCACGAACAATGGCGGCTGCTCCCACCTCTGCCTGATAGCTCCGCCGCCGGAGTCCACCTACCTGAACATCGAGGGCTACATTGAGGAGGGCGCGCCGATCTTCAAGTGCGCCTGTCCCAACCAGTTCTATTTGGCCCGGGACATGAAGACTTGCGTGGCCAACTGCACGGCCGGACAGCACTTGTGTGGCGGGCGGGATGAGAAGTGCATACCATGGTTCTGGAAGTGCGACGGCGAGAAGGACTGCAAGGATGGCTCCGACGAGCCCGCGACATGTGCTCCGCGTCACTGCCGGGCCGGCACGTTCCAGTGCAAGAACACCAACTGCACACCGTCGGCGACCATCTGCGATGGAGTGGATGACTGCGGCGACCGCAGCGACGAGCAGAACTGCGATCTGCCCTGTCCACTGTCCGATTTCAAGTGCAAGTCCAGCGGCAGATGCATCCTGGACAGCTGGCGCTGCGACGGAGATGCCGACTGCAAGGATGGCAGCGACGAGGACCCGGCTGTGTGCTGTACGTATCCAGTGTTTCCTTCATTTCTCCATAGTATGTCTAGGTGTTATATTCATCCCTGTGTGTCCACAATTTCAGACAAGCGCACCTGCGATCCGAAGACCGAGTTCTCCTGCAAGAACGGCCGCTGCATCCCGCAACTGTGGATGTGCGACTTCGACAATGACTGCGGCGACGACTCCGACGAGCCGGCGTACATGTGCCGCCAGAGGAACTGCACCACCGGGTGGCAGAGGTGCCCCGGCCAGTCCAACTACCGCTGCATCCCGAAGTGGCTGTTCTGCGATGGCAAGGACGATTGTCGCGACAACAGCGATGAGCTGCCGGAGAACTGCCCCAAGTGCAATCCGGAAACGGACTTCAAGTGCGGCAACAACCGATGCATACCCAAGTGAGTACTCCAAGTCCCTCGCTCCCTCCACTTGCTAATCCGAATCCGCTCCAGGCAATGGATGTGCGACTTCGCGGACGATTGCGGCGACGCCAGTGACGAGAACGAGGCGGTGTGCAAGGGTCGCTATCGTGAGTGCTCCGAGTCGGAGTTCCGCTGCGGCAACGGCAAGTGCATCTCATCCCGCTGGCAGTGCGACCACGAGGACGACTGCGGCGACAACTCGGACGAGATGCACTGCGAGGGCTACCAGTGCAAGAATGGCACCTTCCAGTGCGCCTCCGGCCACTGCATTGCCTCCTACTTCCGCTGCGATGGCGACCGCGACTGCCGCGACATGTCCGACGAGGTGGGCTGTCCGCCCAGGTTCCCCGGCGGACGCTACTGTCCGGAGTCGCGCTTCCAGTGCAACAACAACCTGTGCGTCTCGCTGTCCGACTTGTGCGACGGCACCGACGACTGCGGCGATGGCAGTGACGAGGATCCCAGCGTTTGCAGCGACTTCAACTGCGACACCCTGCGGCGCTTCCAGTGCTCCAACCATCGCTGCGTCGCCCGCTACCAGATCTGCGATGGCGTGGACAACTGCGGCGACGGCAGCGATGAGAACAACATGACCCTCTGCGCCAGCAAGCAGAAGCCCTGCGATCTCTACACCCAGTACCAGTGCGCCAACAAGCACTGCATCGAGCGGTCCCAGGTGTGTGATTTCTCCGACGACTGTGAGGACGCCAGTGACGAGTTGGGCTGCCACCACACGAGCAGTTGCTCCGAGGCCAATCGCGGCGGATGCCAGCACCACTGCCACAACCTCACGGACGGCGGTTACATTTGCACCTGCTATCCGGGCTACATCATAGCCGCGGACAACAAGAAGAAGTGCTCCGACGTGGACGAGTGCCTGACGCGGCAGCACACGTGCTCCCACCAGTGCCACAATCTGAATGGCACCTACTCGTGCAGTTGCCGCGAGGGATTCCATCTGACGGACGGCGCCAGCGGCGTGTGCCGTGCCGAAAAGGAGGATGTGGTGCTCGTGTTCGCCAATGGCCAGGAGATCAGAGGTCTGGATCTGCAGAAGCGCGAGGAGTTCGATGTGATAGCGGCGGAGAAGCGGATCGAGGCGCTGGACTACGATGCGCAGCAGCAGATCATCTTCTGGGCGGACAGTTACGACAAGACCATTAAGCGCTCCTACATGGTCAATGCCATTGATGGCCGGGCCAAGATCGGATTCGCCCAGGATCTGAACATGAAGGGCGGCTCGAAGCCCACTGCCGTGGCCGTCGACTGGCTGGCCTCGAATCTCTACTGGACCGAGATGGACAGGACGGGCTCCAAGCCGCGTGGCCGTGTCATGGTTGCCAAGACCGATGGTCGCTATCGTCGCTCCATCGTGAACGCTGGACTGGAGGTGCCCACCTCGATTGCTGTGAATCCGCAGCTGGGTAGAATATACTGGTCGGATGCGGGATCAGCGCCCAAGATCGAGGTGTCCTGGATGGATGGCTCTAAGCGCCGACCACTGATCACCGAGCTGATACGCCATCCCGCCGGCCTGACCATCGACTACTCGCAGGACCATATCATCTACTGGGTGGACACCAAGCTGAATGCCATCGAATCGATGAGAGCCGACGGCTCCCGCCGAAAGGCCATTGTGAGAGGCGACCAACTGAGGCATCCGGTGTCCCTCGATCTGTTCGAGTCGAACATGTTCTGGATGACCCGCGATACGGGTGAACTTGTGCGCCAGGACAAGTTCGGGCGCGGAGTGCAGGTGGTGCTGCATCGCAATCTTGTCAATCCGTCCGGCCTGAAGGTGTACCACGACAAGCGGTACAACACCTCGCTGCCCAATCCGTGCGAGAACTCCACCTGCTCCCACCTGTGCCTGCTGGTGCCGGGCGGCCATAGCTGTGCCTGCCCAGACGCCTCTGGACCGCCGCCCTCCCACCGCAGCACCGCCGAGGTCATCTGCAATGCTGCCGCGGAGCATCCGCGACCGGCGCCGCGAATCTGCCCCTGCCAGAATGGTGGGCTCTGCAAGGAGGACGCCCAGGGTGAGCTGGTGTGCGAGTGCATTTCCGAGTTCCGTGGCGAGCACTGCGAGACGAGCACCACGGGAGCCTTTGGCCATGGCGGCGCCAATGTCACCGCCGTCGTGGTGCCCATCATGGTCATCCTGCTGGTGATGATGGCCGCCGCCGGCGCCTGGTACGTCATCCGGAAGCGACCATTGTAAGTACCCCAGCATTACCCCCAGCATCTCCCCCAATTACCAGCCACTTTCTTGCGCACCCTTTCAGCGGCAAACTGGCCCGCATGCCGGCGATGACCTCCTCGCAGAGCGTGACCTTCCGTCACGGCTCGAATGTGGAGTTCAACGAGAGCGGCTTCCCAGGAGCCTCTGCGCCGGGCGCTGGTGACGTGGCGCCCATCGAGGGCTACAACCTGCAGACGGTGAACGCGAACAAGGCCCGCGACTTTGCCAATCCGATGTACGATGCCGTGCAGTCGGGCACCACCGCCGATCCGGGCATGGGCAACGGTTCGGGTGAGTCTTGGCGGAAAGCCAGCAGTACCATGCTTAGCAGCTAATCCATACATCGCTCTCTGCCCCCATAGGCATCTATGATGTGCCCGGCGAGCCGTCGGCCAAGGGCAAGTCCATAGGCCACCATGCGGGCGGCTCCTTCACGGAGCCCGCCTCGGCGATCATCGCGCCCAGCAGCATCACGCACAAGGCGTCGCCGCAGCTGCAGCTGCGCACCAGGGAGCTGGATCCTTCGGCGGACACCGGCAAGGACACGCAGTTCCTGGTGGAGGAGGACAAGTCCGAGTGCTGATATCAAGCCCGTCAATCGGCTGTCGTTGCGGCGGCAGTTGCGATGGCCAGTTGCCGCCAGCAGCGCCGGCAGCAGCAGCAGCAACAATCCGAGAACAGCTATCCGCTGCAGACATAACACATACTGGTCAAGCAGAGGGGGGAGCAACAGCAAAAGCCGCAGCCACACCAACAGCAGCAACATCTGCCGCCGCAACAGCAGCAACAGCAGCAGCATCAGCAGCAGGGACAGGGACGCTCTAGTAGTAAACATCACAAATCCTGGCAGGCAGCCACCGCTGGCAAGGTCACCACCAAGGTCTAGCCGTGACCCCAACAGAAACCACACACCACCCACAGAGAGGAGCAACACGAAATGGAGCAGAAGATGGAGGAGAAAGAGGTGTAGGAGGAGGAGGAGGAGGAGGCGGAGGAGCAAGTCCTCGGGGCTGGGGACGCCAATAAGAAAACATATCCAAAAAAATGATAAACATATGCAACCCCCCACAGGAGAAACCAACTAAAAACAAAAACTGTTGCAATTATTATTAAATATTTACTAAAAACAAAACTATAAATGTACACAAACAACTAAGAGAGCAACACAGCAACTTTTGTAAAGCCAATTTTTGTAGCCCACTGTTTTTTTTTTATTTTTAATTTTGTGCGAAACTAATGTTTTTTGCTAATCGAAATACTTTTGCGTAAACAGGAGGATTGTAAAAAGCAAGCAAAAACGATAAACAAAACAAAATTAAGGCAAGAAGTATATTTTTTTGAAAGCTAAATGACAATATTAACTATATATGTATGTAAATCGGAAAACAAAATATCTATATGTATACACAAGGCAATTAGGGGACGATTCCCAGCTAGGATTTCTATATATTTTTCTAAAAAATAACAAACAAAAAAGCGAGCTAAAAAATATACAACAAATTATAATATATATATATATATATATTTATATATATATATATAATATGTATGTATGTATGTGTGAACCTAAATGTATCGAGCGAAAGAGCCAACACTTTTGTGCTAAATCCAGGATAGAAAACAAGCATTCCCCATTCCCCACACACATATGTATATCTATTAATTATAATTATAATTATAATTTAATTATTTATTCAAACACACACAGACAGGACGCAGGAAAGTGCTAATAATCGAGAATACCAGGGGCTTTTCCAGATTTCCAATTCGCAATACATTCCAAAAACTTCCAAAACGTACGTGCAATCCCCTCCCCCGCCTACACTGTGCAACAAAGAAAAGCAAAGCTTTTCCTTTCCCCTCCCCCTTTTTTTGGTTCTCGCGCAACCCAATCTGCTTTTCTATTTTCTCTATTTTTTCGTTTTGTGTGTGTAGTTGAAACTTGTCGCGCGTGTTTTTTACACACCATATATAAATATATAAATATTTTATTTTTTAATTATATCATCGATTTATGAATTGTATTATGATTTATGATTTATCTTTCTCTTCGAAAGTCGTAATGTGTGTGCATTTTTTTTTCATTTTCGTTCTCTGTGCAAAATCTGTGCTTCCCTTCATTTAAGCGTGTTTTTAGCATAAATTTTAGTGAAAGATGAGAGAAACTAAAGCTGTATACGCCAATCGGGCCATATACAACGCTATATGTGAAGTTAATTGTATATTTAATGTCAAGCTACATAATGGATAACGAAAAAGAAAACCAGAACATAATAAGAGTAAAACTACGAATGAAATGAAAAACTATTTGTTGAAAGAATAAACCTTTTTTTTATTATTATACATACGGGGGGAAAATTGTAAGATGAAGAAAACTAAAACATTCAATAAAGAAAAATCATAAAAAATGTAAAAACTTCAGCGAACATACATAAATCATATTTCTATCGCGTCCTGCTGGCAGTTAATGTTAATGTCACTTCTAAATTGGTAAGTGTACTATAAAGAGGTTTACTGGTTGGGTTTTCGATTTCGCTTAATCTTTGTGCATCTATCGTCTATCGAGGGTTCATATTCGGTATCAGTTTGACTTTGCTATGATCAACCCATTCACAAACTAGAAGCTACCAATATTTGTTTTTAAACGCTTCGATTCACAGTATTTTGCATTCACTGAATGCGTAGAAAAACGTTTACAAGCGAAATGGTATAAATCTACTTATGGACGAGTACATCAATCGTTTTCGAGCCAGTTTTATAGTGAACAAAAATGTGAGCTTACGCTTATTTATGGTACGCTTATTTATTTACTATTTGTTGTCAAAACGTCTAGAAATTGAAAGTCAAAAAACTTTACACGATTTACAACACTCAGACTGGCTGTTTGTTATCTCAAGCAGCTATTACAAAATTATATATCCTTTCTAGGTTCGTAATCAAATCGATTCGCATTCTGTTCTAATAAATAACTTGTTACATTTGAGTTTAATTCTATGGACCTATCGACCATCAGCTACCCCCGCTTTGATGATGAATAAATGAGGCTTGCGGCGGGAACACCTGACAGACGTAAACTGCTAGTGTAGGAGAATTGCTTAAGTCTTGGGCTGAGGCAGATACTCTCGTCGTCATCATGCACAATCCATCTCTGGTGCTGTCGGTGCTAACCTAACTTAACTAGGGCTCTTAGTTAGTTGCTGCTGCTGCTGTAGACGCTGTGGCTGCGAATGTTTGGCTAGTCGCTCGTCTTCAATCGCTTGACGGGTCCATCGCTGCCCTGCGAGTTCGAGTCCTCAGAGAAGGGCATACTCGACACGAAGTCGGCGCCCTGACTGTCGGACACGACGGAGAAACCTGTGTGTAGATAAGGATCGCATGAATAAGACAGAGTAAACATGTTTTTTGGAATGGATAAGATTAGCTGAACACAAGAACTGCGAATAGGAGATGCGCTCTAAAGCAACAAATCAAATCTAAACACATCCCTGACTCTTTTTGGCGCCTAAAGCCAAGTGCTTGGAAGACCAGTGGGGAATGATTAAATTCTATGACATAGAAACCCTACTACTAATAGTTTCTAGAGAACCAGCACATAGTCGTCAAAATTGTATATCCTTACAGGTGTTGGAGTCCTCGGCGGTGAGTCCCTGGTAGCTGGGCGTGATTTGCGGCGGCGTGGGCGTGCCCTTCTGAGAGTTCTCCTTATCGCTCTTGCTGCCGCCAACGGGCGTTACGCCCGACCCGGTTGGCGGTCTCCGGGCAGCTGCCGATCCCGGCGAGGACTCCAGCTTGGCCTTCTTCTCGCTGGCGGAGGCGATGGGCACCCATTTGTAGATCTTCATGGTGGTGTCACTGATGGTCACCCACTTCTTCTCCCAGTGGCGCACCTTGTCCACCGCCTGCATCACCCGCTTGATGTCATCCTTCGCCCGGCTGCGCGTCTCCGCCCGCACGCTGCGCGACATGTCTGTGGGAAAATGGCGACTGGTCTGGCTGCTCCTGCTGTTCCTGCTTTTCTTGCTTTCCTCGCTTTTCCCTAGCAAAAGTCGGCGTCTCGCGAAATGCCGCTAAGTGTTTTTCGCAACTTCGTTCGGCTTGAGGATGGAACTCCCGTCTTCTGGCTTTCAAGTGGAGTTGTGTGTCGTGATTTCGGTGGTGCTCGACCAGTTGACCAGTGGATAATTAGGTTTTTTTTTGACAATTCGCAAACATATTTTTAATACAAAAAAAAATAAACATTCGATTGCAGGCGTGATTTTCAACTGATGTTATCGAATGGTTGAAGTAAATCGACCGGCAACAGTGTGACCATTGGCTAAATGTATATTAAATATTCGTGTATAAATTGTAACTTAAATGGATGTTCTCTGAGCTGCAAAATATTAATTAATAATAATTTAAAATCAATGATAATGATACAAAATGTTTTCTGTTCAATTAGTCTGGCAACGCCAGGGTTACTAAATAGTATATTCTAGTATATTTACACATACCACAGAGTGAGAGATGGGCGAAACATCGATGTCCGATAAATATCGAGTTGCCGGTATTAAGTCATCGAAGTATCGATATTCCGATGCTACGATGCCCCATCGATGGCTCGATGCTTTTTCGATGTTTTTCCACCGACCGACGAAATTATGCGTACGCTCCGCTTATTTTTTTATTTATTTTTTCGTAATCCGAACCGAACGCTCGCCGCCCATTAGAATGGAATGAAAAGTCGCACAAAGCCGGAAAAAGTGAAGTTATTTTCGCGAATTAATACTCGCAGTGCGTGCGAGCGAGAGCGATAATTAAGATGAAATTACAGGCGACGCCGAAATAAAAAACAAAAAAAACGTTGCAGCAACAACGTGCGTGTGCGAATGTATGTGTGTGCGTGCAAGTGTGTGTGGTGTTGGTATATATGAAGAGCTAGGAGAGCGAGTGAGAGGGCGATAGGAGGCCGAGGAAAAGAAGAAAAGGCAGCGGTGCAAAAGAGAACGAAGAAAAGTGGGGAAAGACGAAAAAGGCAAAACGACAAACGCACACGAAATTGAAAATTGTTGTACGAAAATCAGGAGAAAGCCCACGATCTTTTTTTTCTTGAATTTTTACCCTGGATAATTGATATCAGAAATGTGTGCGTAAGCTAACACCGATACTAACACTAATGCAGCCGCAGGGAAGGAATCGCTCCCTCGCCCGAAAGAGAAAAAGAGAGAGAGAGAAACGCAAACAAATTGGAATAAATTACAGAAATTTAAAATAAAGTAAACAACTCAAATGGCAGGAATTTAAACTAAAGTAAACAAGGGGAACGAGCGATATAAATTATTTGAATATTTCGAAATTCATGTGAAGGAATTTGTGTGCTGTTACTTCGTTCTATGTTGTCATTTGAAAAGTTAAACATTCAGTGTTAACTGAACTGTGAAGCAAGATGCTATAAAGCACTTAAAATTTCATTTTACTTTAGAAATTTTACTTGCTTTTTTAATGCGCTTTTATTAATTTTTTCAAGAGCAAAATATATTGAATTGGTAACTCATCAGATGTTTGGGATTTAAAAATAAACAAAGTAAAATTTCTAGCGAATGTATGGAATCCGAGTATGGTGTGTCGTTTATAAATTTTTTTCAAGTGAAAGTCAAGTGAACATTTTTTTAAGTGCACCTAATCTGATTTATTTACAAATTTATTTTTGCAATTTCCCTAAAAACAGCAGCCGTTTCAAAAGCCAGAACTTTGAAAAGTCGAAGCTGAATTTTCCCCGATTTTTCCCGATTTTCCGTTTCCCGCGAATCTGAAAGCCGCGCTGCCGGCGTCGCTGCCTTTGCCGCCGTCGACGTCGTCGATCCCGTTTCACGCGTCGCCGCTTCGTCTCGCCGTCTCGCTTGTTTCCCGCCCCCTCTCTCTCTGCCCCTCGCCCGCCCCCGCCACCCCCTCCTACCAAAAGGCCCCTTAAAACAACAGAAAAAAGATACGAAATACAACAACACAGAGAGAGAGAGCAAGTGAGATAGACAGAGAGAAAGCCAAGCCAAGAAACGTCATCAAGCAACAACAACAACAACAGGCAGCAGCAACCACAACAACTGCAACTGCAACAAAACGGCAAACTCATCAGCGGCAGCAACAATAACAAAACGCATTTCATTGCCAAGAAAAAAGAAAACGGTCAACGACATTGCAACAACAAGAAGAGCGAGAATAGCGACAACATTGGCCAGCAACAACAACAACAAATCAGCAATACAGAGAGACTGCAACATCAACAACAACCACAACAACAACTGAAACAACAAATAGGAAAATAGGAACATAGGAAAATGCCCAAATGCGATGTGAAAACGCGCTACATTCCTGCGACTTTCGCCTGGATTGTGCTGCTTCTGACCACATTTCTCTTCTTCTTCTATCCGTAAGTACAATCATCTAATATTACTACTACTGATATAATACAATTAGTTAATAATATAATCGTATATGGCAAGCGACATGCAACAGTTTCACCCTCCAAAAAGGCCAACTACCTTCGAGTTTCGACAAAATCTCTCGCTCAGTGAAAGCATTTCCATTGTCACAAAAGTAGAGCAATCTGCCAGTGGGTACTATACCACCAAATATATGGCAGTTTGCGATGGCTTCGCGAGAAGTTCATGAATATTGAATGTGCCTAAGGCGATATTTACTGCAGCCCCACACGCGCACTTTTCCTCCTCCTCGTGGAGCAGCGTAATCTAAGTCGACCCTTCGGCCTTCGTCTGCCAGCCAAAGCAGCCATCCAGTTTTCCACCCACCACCCACCATCCACCCACATGATTTTCTTTGTAGTTTGCAGTTTTGTTGCTGGCACTTTATTTATTTTGCTCGCATTTTCGTGGATTATAACGACGGGCCGTAATGCATTATTATATGTGGGACAGCAGCTCGTTGTTATCCAGTCTGGCCCCATTTCCCCCCCTAGCGATTTTCCTTGTCTTAGTCATCTCTCAGTCGCCATTTTACTGCCCCAACTCCCCACCGCCGACCTCCCCCCATTTGGCACTCAATTTGCAGTTGCTCGGTGCGGTTTTAAAAAGAATTTCAGTTTTCAAAATACCGAAAAATTGGTAAAAAAAAAAAAATTATGATGCACGTAGTTCGATGGACTGACAGATTTTCCGTCTACGGCACGAATATGTCTTGAAATTTAAAGGAAAATGCTGGCAAAAAAACTAACATATGTTCAATATTTAAGTTTTGACCAGGAGCCAGAACCCAGAATCATTTGCATGGAAAACCTACCAACTTAATTAAACTGAAATTCATTTGCAGCTTTATCTGGGCACATTCTAAATTATTCATCGTTTTGAAATTGAGTTTTTTCGCAGCCAGTCACATCATGATATCTCGGCATGGTATAAACGTTATGGTTTTTTTTATTTTATTTATTTTTTGTTTTTTTGGAGGCGACGAGAAGGTCAAGGGAGCAACAGATTTGCATAGCATGTGCACAATTAGCACATGAAACGAAACCAAAATAGCAATTAAGCGGTCAGTTTGAGACCCCAAATGCCTGCCCAATGCCCACAGCTTTTCCCCTGTTTAAGCACACAGTATTGCAAAGGTTTTCCTTAGTTTTCCCTCTCGCTTTTCCTAGTGACGAATTCGTGTGGTCAATTGCAGCTGCAATTGGCATTATTCCGTTCTTCATCAAATGCAAACCGTTTTTGACATCAGACATCACCTGAGGACTGTTTGATTCTTCTTCATCGTCACCTACTTTGTACATAGGTCCTTTCATTTGTTCGAGCACACAGAGAGAAATTGAAACTTCGTTGCTTGGTAATTGTACAAAAATATTTTGGTTACGTTGCCGGTGGGCATATTGCTGTTTTTCAAGCATGATTCATTCTAAATAATCATTCTATTAACATTGTGATCGTATTGTTTTCTTTCTGTGCACTATTCCGCCACCATTGCTCTTGTTGTTGCCTTTTTCGGCTTTTCCTTTGTTACAGTTATCTATGCTGCTGCTGCTGACTGGCTCTTTGTTTTAGCCAGCTGAGTAATTCGCAGTCACAGGAGAGGAGCCACGCCCGCTCTTCGCAGCCCCCACTTTTCCATTTTCGCATTTTCACTTGACTCTTGCGGCGACACTTGAGTTCTGCACATTGTTGCCGCCACTCCCCTCCGCCTCCTCGTCCGTCGGTTGCCGGGTTTGGGAATTTGTTTATTTAATTATGCCTTCCCTTTGTGCTTTGTTGTTATCTGGAGTTTTGGGCACGCGGCAGGCGTATTAAATAACGCCTAGGCTCAAAAACCAGCTTAGACCAGCTTCAGTACACTGAGAGAACCGCACTGCACTGGGTAGTATAGTACTCTCTATTGGTATATTTCAAAGCACACTTAATTAATAGCAGGCTTAACGAGAAATGGTAATAAATGTTAAACAAAATATTTACAAATTTGTTTAAGAGCAGTTCTGCACTGAAAAACAGTAGTTCTTAGAACTTGTCAGGCCTCTTTTGTCGGCTCGTATATATAATAATATGTCCCATTATTTTCGCAGTGAACCGCTGCCATAGTTTTCAACGCTTGTTTGATTAGCCGGCGACGTCATCTGATATGGGGTGTGGTGTAGGAATTTCGGATAAGGAGGTTCGGGTCGGTTGGGCAAAAGTCCAATTACGGACTATATTTCATTATGGCCAGTTTTTTCCTTTTTTCGCTTGCCCTCCCTTCGTTCTATATAAGTATATAGTTTTTTGTTTTTGGATTTCCCTCTCAATGCCACAGGTTGCCTTTGTTACTATCACCAACAACACAAAAAACACGAAAAAAAACAGAAAACAGAAAAACTACGCTTGACAAAACAAACCGAATCGGGGAAATAAAAAGAAAATTAAGTAAAACGCGACAGGGCAGAAAACAACAAAAAATAACAAGACCAAAAACTGTTGCTACGTGGCAACAACAAAATGTAAAAATTAAAGGGAAGCAACAGCGATAAAAACTACGGCAACGCAAATGCGTCACAACAACAGCTTGGACAATAGTTTTAGCCACCCACACAACCCCATGGCCAGCACCACGCCCACTGCCACCCACAAGCGCTCAACGCCCACCGTGCACCGCCCACCGTGCACCGTCCACTGCCTCATTGAAATTCTAGAAGCCGCGCCACTCAGAGTGATGATTATTCCTCGCTGTTTCGCTTTTTCTGTTTGCGTTTGCATTTGCGTTTGTTTTTTGTCGTTAAATTTTCAAGCCCCAATGCTCCCCATATCACCCAGCCCCAATGCCACCCACCTAATCCACCCGTTTCACACATGGAACAATGAGATTTCTGGCATTTTTAACACCGAATACGTTTGTGTTTGTTCCTTGTTTCCACATAATGTAGATTCATTCTGCTCCAAATAATTGAGCCATTTTCATTTCTCTGAAATCCCTTTTTAAGCCAGCACTTCACCATGAAACTTTCCAATTACCCAGAAAATCTACTTATAAAATAGTAAACCATTTTAAAAGCAATGTAATCACCACGAATCGAAGAAGAAACTAACTTCAACTCTATCTTAACTGCTTTTAGTTGGAAGCCAAAGATTTTGCGCTGCCCGAAGATAAATGATAAAGTAGAAGCTACATAGATAATTATAGGAAAATGGTTGGGAAAAAAGCGAGCAACGGAGGGGATTGCGTTTGCCCAGGGAAAGTGACTTTAATTACACAATTTTCGAGTAATTAAATTTCCGTTTTGTTGCTCTGACAACTTTGATCAACAGAAAATTTGCAGGTGGCGGCAAAGCGAGAAAAGTGGAAGCAAAAAGGGGGTCGAAAAAATGGCTGTAGAAGAGATAAACTCGGCTTAGAGCTTCGCAGAATATGCATATTTTAATAAAATATACAGTGAAAGGACAGAAAAAAGATGAGATGGCTGGCTACCAAAGTAACCGCTTTCGGTCAGTAAAGTTAAGCTCCGCCGAGCGCCTGGGAAAACCAACACCGCCACACTCGACCCAATTAAATGTTGTTTGTAATTTGTGTTAAAAGCATTTCAAGGACTACATTTATTTATTTCTATTTTTTGCCCCAAGTTTACTTACTTGTAGAGCCCGGCTGCACACATTTTCCTCGACTTTTTCCCAGCGGTCGTCCGGGTTTGATTTTCTTCATTCATTTTACTTATTGCTTATTACTGTCACTTACACTGAGCGACCAGGGATTCGCCACACAAATTAAGATACAGAAAAGTTAGCCACCTAGAGGTGCGGCACCTTTTGTCTGCCAGTGTATTTGGGCCATTTTCCCCAGTTTGCCTCTATTTTTTCACTCGAATCCACTTGAGATATCATTTCGTATTGCTTTTGCTTTTCCTCGTGGCTTTTCGGCCCTCTCTGCCTTTTTTGATGGAAAACACTCGACCACCCAGCCACCCAGCCACCCCGCATTTCGGCGTTTCGTGTGTATTTGTCCACTAATTATAATAAACAAAGTTTTTCTTTTCACTAGCAATTAGGCGACACTTGTGATGAGCGCAGCTGGGGAGAAATACATCGAGAAAGTGATTATAAATATCTATGGGTTATTATTGAAACACGGAAAAATATATGTACATTGTGCATATAAACGTTTTCTCTAACTTGGCAATGTAATAGTTTGAACATGTAGTAGTTATTTCACTAATAATATTTAAATAATTGCGAAATTATGCGACAGCAGGTGGCTCAAAGCAATTTACTGTAAATTCCTGCAATTGCTTTTTTGGTTGATTGTTTAATTTTATGTTAATCATGTTACATGAACAAAAACCAAATTACCCTGGCCCACGTGGGTAAGTAAACGTGTGTGTGTGTGTGTGTGTGTGATTGCACGCAGGTCGTGACCTGTGCCAGCCACGCCCACGCTGTAGATCCCGCCCACGCTCTTTGACTTTGATGCTGAAGCAGCGGCCTCGGCTCCTTTGACATTCCCCACCCGCTTAGGCCCGCATGTTTGATGGCTTTTCAGCATTTTCCATGAGCGATTTCTAATTGAATCAAATTTGTGGCACCCACGCGATATAAATTATACGTAGATATCACTTGATTGCAGGTGTTCTGCAGCTGAATAGCGTCCACACAGGCCCACATTACTACATCTGCACTGGGAGAAAGTGTCACTTATGTTTGATTTAGGTGTCGTTCCATTCCGAATTCATTCTAAATTAAACCAAAAATATTTGAATAAGTAAACTGGGTTTCGAATCGTTTTTCAAATCTTGTACACTTGATTACGACCCAATCGCCCTATTTTCTCCCTGTGTACATTCACACATTTTGTGTTGCAACCTTCGCTGCTGCCCACAACGGCGACAATATATGTTATAAATACCCTAGAACTACTGCCACCACAACATATATTTAGTAACCTTGATGTTCAAACGTTTATATCTAC